TGACTTTGCTTGCCGATGACTGCTTGCGAGTGGTGGTTCCAAAACGAACCACTGGCCTTCCGTGCCTGGTGGTCATGCATGGGTGTACTTCTGCCACAGTTGGTATTTCTGGCAATCGCACCCATTTACGTTCTTGGACTCCACCGTTGAAGAAAACAAAATTGTCTTCGTTCTCAAGACAAAGAAAGGTGCCACCAATTATCTCACCAAATTGTTGGCAACGAGACCTGGAAAGACAGGTACTATCAGGGTCTGCGTGGAAGGACCATATGGCGAAGCTTGTTCTGTCAAGCACCAGGATAATGTTGTGTTTGTTGCCGGAGGAAATGGAATCCCAGGCATTTTCTCGGAATGCTACGACTTGGCTCAAAAGTCTGCAAACAATGCTAAACAGTGGATCAAATTAATCTGGGTCCTTCGTGAAATCCTGACCATTGAATGGGTCTGGGAAGAATTGAGTTCCTTGAAGAACACCAAGGTGGAAGCAACAGTCTACATCACTAGACCTGAAGGGGGTAACGACGACATTCTTCTTGAGCGCATGTCCACAAACGACGAGTCATCCGCTGAAGAAAAGGATTTATCCAGCAAAGAAGGTAAAAGCACCATCGAGCTTCTCAGTGAGTACTTTCCACATGTAACCTTTAAATCCGGTCGTCCGCTGATGGATGCTATTGTTGATGAGGAGACCGAGGAAGCTGCCAGCAGTGCTGCATTCATTACTTGTGGGCATCCCATTATGGTGGATGACTTGAGATATGCTGTTGTCCAGAAAATCGACAAGACCGAGAAGCGTGTCGATTTCTTTGAGCAGTTGCAGGTCTGGGCTTAATTCTCAATTCTGTGGCGAGATTGATTACTAGAATTTTCTAATTGAATTGAAGATCCTCTGACTACTAAGGAGAGTCAATGATCCGCCGTTATGGTGAGTTCCGGTATGCAAGATTCAATACTCCAGTGCAGTTACTACCATTTCGTGCAATTCAAACACGGACTAAAGTACATGGTGATGTCTAGATAATAGCACTGATCAATCACCTTGACCATATATAGGTACAATTCTGCAACGAAGAAGACAATTTTCTATGATGCCTATTGAGGAACAAAATCAATGTTTGGTGGTATTTAATAAACAAGGGGTTCAATGATACTAAAGAAAGTGGCCTGGAGGCTACTTTCATGGCCCTTAATTCATTTCATTTCCCGTCCATTATTGGCGAGCCCTAATCCTGCATGGCTTCATTCACTTTCAATGAGGGTTACCCGGCTCGCGTGAGGCGATGGACATTAAGAACATCGCCAGCCCCGGAATTATTTGCGGTAGCCCAATACACATATAATCCAGCCTTAATGAGCACAAGAAACTAAGTGTATGTGAATGATGATACAACATTAACAACCTTATCTACATTACCTGACGCCCTCGGGCATAGATGTGAAAATGACTCTGACTAACACATACAAGACCATTCCCATCATATCCAATTAGCTATATCCGTCTGTGATAATGTCAACCTACGTTTTGTAAACATGACTCGTGTGCCCCGGAATACAGACAAGGTAGGATTGTCTGTATTTCCGATGTACGTCCAACATGACAGCTGGTGACGTTTCCAGTCATGTGACGCGTGCATGCAGTCCAGTGGAGGTAGCTTAGTAATGTAGAACTCATCTCCCAATGCCTTTGCCCTCTTTTTGAAGGAAGCTGCCTATTTCTCAACCTCCAGTATGCGTGTAACCCGATCAAGAAGTGCGGGCAAACCAGAAGACCTGGGATTGCAAGGCCTTGCGAAAGTCGGAAAGCCTCAGCGAAAAACAGAGCAACTGAGACGGTTTCCGGCAACACAAGAAAGTCTAGTTTCATCAGCAGTAAAGTCCGAAGGCCATCCAGGGTTATCCGATTCAGCCCCGGTGGATCAGGCAAGCCTGGTTCAAGTCCCCCGGTTGCCTTCCAAAACTTCAGCAAAGCCGCATATTGAGCAGTCGTTTGCTCACATACAAACGCCGGCAGATCCCGAGCTCCCGCCTAATTTCGTGACTTATCACACCCCAGAGTTTGTAAGCGCAATCAAGCACATCTTAAACATTGACTCCACTCTTTATCCAGCGATTGCACATGGCAACTTTGCAGCGTTTGCAAATAAAAACGAAGATTCCCAGCTCGAGGGCCTGGAATTGATCAACAGTTATTGGTACTCGTTGATCTCATCGGTTATATCCCAGCAAGTGTCAGGATCTGCAGCCAAAGCTATTCAAACTAGATTCAACGATTTGTTTGAAGGTACACCAACTCCAAAAGCTACGCTCGATTTGCAATTAGATACGCTCAAAGCTGTGGGATTACTGAGCATGAAACTAAAGTATGTTGTGCACATCAGTGAAGTGTTTTCAGACCCTGAATCTAGGTTGACTTCAGTGGAGTTCTACAAGCACACATCCACAGAGGAATTGATTGCAGAGTTGACCAAACTCAAGGGTATTGGCGAGTGGTCTGCTAATATGTTTGCCGTGTTCACATTGAAAGAACTCGACATCTTTGCATATGATGATTTAGGTGTCGCCCGGGGTGTTGCTAGATATTTGCAGGTGCGGCCTAAGACTTTGGAGGAAACAAAAAACGGTGTCCATGCGATTGAGGAACTCAAAGCTCGGTTGAAGAGAAAATCAAAGTTTCACTCGGCTAAGTCCAAGCGGGATTGGACTCCTCTTCATGATGAGTATGTCAAATTTCTTGCATTGAAGTTCGAGCCGTATCGCACAGCTTTTATGCTCGTGATGTGGAGATTGTCATCTACAAACATAGACGTTTTGGAGAAAGATGATGAACTGCGAGATACTGGCTCTACTGCCTCACGGGTTTCATAAAGAGGGACGTGTCTTTTCCCGCACGTATGTGGTTATTTCGGGAAGGACAGTTCTGACGCCCCATTTTGCTTTTACAACAAAAAGGGGTGTGTCGTCCAAAATGATGAAAACAAAAGCTTTTTAAAATGAAACTGTATTGCTCTCAATAAAAATGCTGTTCCGTATACATCGATAAGTATTATGCATTGGGTAGAGGTTCCAGTACTTGGCCTCATATTTCTCAAACAATAGTGCCACTGATCCATTGTGAGCAGTACGTCTATCCTGCGAACTACTCTTCTCTTTTCATTGTTGGTAGTAATTTGATTTCACACTAAACAAATGATTAGAGGCAGCACCCACAAATACTTGATTGGGACAACGGACCCAGAGCTCGGGAGGAAACTCATGGAATCATCATTTGCTGCAGATTTCGATTTTATTGTGGTGAGCACATCGTCAATTCCATCGTAGTCTGAGTCAAAATTGTTGTCATGGAGAAACTGCAAGTCGTTGGCGGAAAACCCACGATGCTCCACTAAGTAGTCTATGAAGTCATCAATGTGTAGGTCAATGCTTTCTGCTCCTGAAGACTCCATTGGGGGTGTGAAATCCTCGTCTCGGTCATCTTCTACTATGAACCGAGTCCATGTACGCAAATCTGTGTCATCCGATAAAATTCGCTCGAGATTTGTGAACTTCGTTTTTAGTGGAGCCTTTTCGGGTTCTGCAAGGGTGCGGAAACTATTGAGCGACAGGAAAGCCAAAAACTCCTTGATATAGTCTGTTTTCAGTTTGACCCGAGTTTCGGGTACCACGCCCATTAGATGCAATGATGAAGCAGACGCAGTAGAGCCCACATTGTCGTTCTTGGCTGTTGTCGGATTGGTCCTTGTATGGACTATACGCTCTGGTACGTCCCGAATCCCCAGCACTGTGATGGCGAAGGCATAAGACAGAAAGAGAATATAGGCAATGAAATTGGCTTTCTTTTTTGCAAGCATTTGAAATTTTGAAGCGGATGTCTGAGACTGAGAAAGAAGCCTGGTCTATGAGGGGGGGATGCTATAGCAGATGAAGAAGTTTTGCTCAGGTACAAAATAAATGGTTGCGAAATCGGCCCAGAGTTTGAGAAGACTTTATCTGTGGCACGTGACAACACTTGTGGCGAACGTGTAGCTCTGTTTATTTTCGGAGTTGACAGAATCGTATTTCCAGAAGGAAACCAGTAACATTCTTTGTATTGGGTTCAAAAACTGTTTATAAGTTACTTTGAGCTTTAAAGTTTTTTTTTTTGTATGTTCTCTTTGTTATCTTCAAAAATTGTTGTTAAGTCTGACAGAAACCTCAAATAAAATCGAGAAAAAAAGAAACAAATAAATAAATTGTAAATATAAAAAAATAACAACATGTTAACAATTCAGTGTTGGCTTTGGGTCAGAGACTACGTCAAAGCCTGTAATCATGGGTAGTTGCCCTTTCTGGGATCAAAATAGCCGTCTGGAGCAGTGCTAGCGTCCAAATTAGAAAAACTGCTTGCATCGAGACCGGCATATGGAACGTTATTTCCCCACCAATCAATATACTTCTCGTTATATTGCACCGCAAAGAAAATGATGATGCTGCTGAAGGCAAGACCAGCATTCAAGGATCCCGATAACAAGAAGACATATTTCTTGAACCAATTGATGTACCTGTTTCTTATAACGTGCATAAAGAAGAAGGAAGCAATGACTCCAGGTGTAAAGTAAGACAAGTTGTAGGGTGCGTAGATCAAAAATCCACCGATGACCAACACGGGCTCGAAATACCTGACTGCTTGGTACTTACTGAAATACTTCTTGATCAAGAACATCAAGGGAGCAAGCAAGAAGCCAATCAAGAAACACCACTTCAAAATAGGGTAGAGATGCGAGAATACTCTTTCTGGGCCAATAACACCCCAGATGACCGAGGCCGAATAGAATGTTCGAGCACTAGGGCACGTAAATCTCTGGGACTGATTAGGATCACAGTAGTCCTTGATATTGGTGATATTGAAGTTGATAACAGCCAAGCTGATGAAACAACTAATGAAGGTTGAGAGGAGCTGCGTCCTGAATAAAGCTCTGGGAGGAATCCTCACGTAGTGAGCCATTTTCTGATCTGAGATGTAATTCTGAGCTTGCCCATCGATATTGTATCCCAAGGCCTTCACAAACATCAATGCAATTCCGTTTCCAGGTAATGCATAGCCTGATCAACTGAACTAAAACATTAAGACCAAAACTGAAATCTGTGATGGAGTAGACAAGGGTGAGTGGAATCAAAAAGACAAAATTGATACCCAAAGCGAAAAAGATCGTCCAAACTGGAGTTTGCATTGGGTACAACTTGACACACAAGATTGCGAACACAATGGAAATCACCAAAACAATGAAAAAACACCACTCTGGAACCTCTTTGTATTTGCGCATAGACTTCGAGTAGGCATCGTGATATCCTTCATACGTAGACCTTTTAAAGTTTCTGATCGCACTATAAAGGCCGCCAATGGCAAACTTGTTGTGTGTCCAATGCGTCAATCCCATATAAAGAATCGTGAACGGATAAATGGCAAAGAATGCACCGTATACGACCATGTTTGCGGCAGTGTAAAATGGAGGACTGTAGCTTTCATATTTGGCCTGATCGATCAAGTTGTCACTGTTGAGAATACTACTCACCGAGTAGACCTCTCCCGTATTGGTAAATAAGGAATTTGAGTTGATTGGCAAATATCCCGTCCATTTGTAATTGGAGTACCAGAGCCCCAAAATGCAAAAGAAAGCAAGAATCGAACCCGTATACTGGTTCACTTGAGAAAAGAAAGGAATTGTTAAAGCGCCATTAAAATCGATAATATTCCAATCAAAAGTGGTGAGTGGGTTGAGAGCCAAACCCCCAATAGAGCCTGTAACGACCGCCAAGGTTGCGTTGTTGGGAGATTTCCAAGTCATCCAGTTGAAGTACGATAATGCTTCGAAGAGATAGTTTGGTAGCCAGAAGTATAAGAAAGACGCTGTGAATGCAACAAGAAAAAAGTGGTATATGGAAATCTTCCACCCATTGATATTTTCCTTTGGCTCACTTTGCAACAAAGCCTTGTTCAACGCAAGCGTTGGCAAAATACTTGGCCAGAGGGCACGAGTGGGATAAACAGCAAATTTCCTCATGATACCTGCAAACCCAAACCCCATGAACTGGGTGCAAAAGATCAACAAGATCTGGTATCCCCAATCGGCCCATTCAACTCCATAAAACATGTCCATTTTCTGCTAGACAGATCCTGGAAAAATTTCTTGGGCCACGTCCGCGGACACTCCCGAGAAGCAGTAGCAAAAGAATAAAGCCGTACCGCCAAGAAAGGCGATGTGTTTCAATGATTGTCGTGTGTGGTTTTTGCATCTTATCTTCCAATGGCGGGTGAGTAGTTTCTCCGCGAAAGTTAAATTACTACTTTGGGTGGTCTGAATCGGCCTTTTAGAACAGGGCGTATCGAGCCAATGCTTGAGAGTTTTCAGGTTGTGAAAACACCTATTGGGTCATGCTTGAAGAGAAATCATAAGTCTCTGGACTGATTGAACTGGACAGATGAAAGGCATATTGGATTGAGGCCTAATTTGTGGGGTGGGAACGCGACTAAATCTGGCTCATATGGGCGGGGCCAGAATTGAGAAATTACTTGAGGCAAACCGTTAGAGCAATTTTATCCGGAAAGAATTCTTGTTGCAAAAGGGCTGATATATTGAACGCTTTTTGTACGCCCGAGGGAAAAAGTAGACGAAAAACAAATATGAACGTGGTGCCCAATTGTTGTTGTATTACGGTGTACCAATCGCCTGCTCAGATTGCAGCCCGCGATTTCTTCGTCCTCGATACTTCAAATGAGAAAGTACTTTTACCATTTTTAGCGTTAGGCTGTATGATACCCTTTTAAGAATGATTTCAGGGACTGAATAGTAGATTTATTAGGTTGTTGATCAAGAATTCCCCTTCTTCAGAGATCTGATCCGAGCTTGTGAGTCACGTGCACTAGCTCGCACGCCCATACTAAAGTAGGCTGCCTAGTAACGCACAATTAAACTATGTAGTTGGTAGCAGGTCTTTCAGCGTCAACTATGTCATATCCACACCAGTGGGATTCCCCGTCAAGCTTTCTTACTTGCTGTATTTTAAAGATACACAACTCGTCATATCACGTGATACAAAATGCCGCATCCCCGGTTCAAATCCACAATGTCTGCTTTCTTCGATATGTGTACTTGCAATAATCATGAGAGGAACCTGTTAGGGCTAAAAGAAGTGAAAGTTAAACAAAAGAGTCAAATAAAATTGAAACATGTTAGTCGTACCTCCTGCTCTCTTAATCTCTATCCTATAATCAATCTGCGACCAGTGAGCCTAACGTGCTGGAGCTAAAAAAGTTTATCTTTACTCTGCCTTTGGTTTCTTCCTCAAATTCTCCATTTGTTTCTTTGAATAATTTGAATTGGCCAGTGAGCATCAAAATAGCTAACTCTCATTTGCAATAAGTCCGATATTAGACAAGTCCATTTTATTGCATCTAACGATCCATGATGCCGGTATTTAAGGACGCGTCAACACTCTTTCGATTCTCTAAACTGTTTTCTTAATTGAAAAAAAAAAAAAATGCTTCCAGAAAAGCTCATCAAATTTCAGAATAACAAAAAACCTGCTTGGGTAGACTTTTTGTTGTATGATTTAACTTGCTGTTTTTTTGTGAGCACGAAATCAAGAACTCTCCAGAGAGGATCCTCTAGTTGGCACAATTAAGCAATATCAGAGCTTTCCTGCTTGCTCACAATTGGATTGCAGCTGAAAATGGTATGGTGCTTACATTTGATGTTGTATGTGCTTCACAGAGATATTGATTTGTGATGTAGACCTATTTTTGCTAAACGACGACAATTGATGATCGACATAAACACAAATAACTCTTATTTTATATGTGCATGGTGGTGGTATACTCAAATATGACCACTTCAGACAAATATGCAATGTTTACGTTCGAATTAAGGGTAAAGGTTTCTAAATCGAAATTCTAAACAATTTATTGACTTTTAAGTCAATAGAGCTTGATTTATCGCATAAAATCTGAATTTTGTTGTGCAAAATGAGAGCATCACCTTTCTTAACAACACTTTATTTCTCGGTATCATGTCGAAAAATCAGGTAATGAACAACAGCATCACCCATATAGACTGGAGTGTAATTTTCTGCATACACGACCAATGGCTATTTAGGCATGTGTAAATTACCAGGTATTAAAATTTGCCTCCCGAATTCTGCTATCACTAGTAAAAACATCTAGACTAACATTTTCGCTAACTCAAGAAGCTTTCAATAGCAAATGAGGTTTTAGCCATCAAGCGTAATTTTTGGTATCGTACATAATTTAATAAAAATGCATTTGCTTGGGCTGACTTAAAAAGTTTCTTGATTTTGCTGTCATTTTCTGCCATGAAAGAAAACTTTTGAACAAGGACAGTCATATTTCGGAAGGAGTCATGGTTTTGCCACGAGACGTTCCATCGAAAATATTGAGATTAGATTTAATTTTGTGACCCAAGTCTACCAATATCAAAGGTGACTGGGAAAATGTACATATATGAGCACAAATAAAGTCCATATTGATAGAGTGCCATAGATATCCTTTTAAAATATCGAAAAGAACTTGCTGTGATTTGAAATTATGAGGGATAAATTTCACAGATCTTGTGATTCGAAGGCGAAATTAAAATTCGTGATTGCAGAGATGATTGTCAAAAAAGAATAAAACTTGTATCGAGTCGAAAAGTCTTTGAAAAAATTTAATTCGAAGTCAGTCTGAAGCATTGAGCTGAATTTTGCCGCTCCAGTGGTGCTCCCGAAAATCGTGGGTGAACTTGATATATTTAGGAAAACATGTTGAATATTTTTCTTGGTGGGCAGTATTTGAAAAAACTTCGAATGATGTTAGCACGATCTGTCAAATCGAACATGTCGTTTCTCAAGTGGTCAAAAGTTTCTGTATTATTCTCTTCATGAAGGGAAAAGACAAGTAAAGAAGAAAAAAAGAAATATAACACTACACCCAATAGTCCAATAAAGAATCGGGAAACGAGATAACTTCATTGAATTTCTTGCCCGCTTATCAACAGCTCACGCCTTAGAACCGTACGGCTCCGCGAGTTGTTTTGGTGCATGGTATTCTGCAGTATGCACGAAGGTTCGTATCTTGCCAAGAAAAGTATCAGACAGGCGATCCGTGGATGGAATCACTGGATTCCTTGCGTTTTGTTGCTTTAAGAAATGCTGCGCTAGAAATACGCTTAGCGCCTTTCTAGCTTTTGAAGACACTGGGAGATTTTGATGATATTCAAAATAGAACTTCAAACCATCAAATGATCTATTCTGTTTTCTATATTTGCGTAAAGCAATTCGTAATTGTGTTTCTGCGACTGTTAGAGAAGCTCGAAGTTAAAAAAATAGTTCTTTTTCTTCACTTGAAGAAGTAAGATTAAAAGGTGAATTGGGCAAATCAGTGATACCCCTATAAATACCGAAACGGCCTACTCGGACTAGATTTAACAAAAAATGTTTCGATGTTGCAAAAGTATCGGGACTCCTAAGAGCAAGCGCTTGATGGGATGAAGTATTTTCTTGCTGATTGACAAATAACCAACGTTTTATTGTGAGTATGACAAGTATGGCAAATTAGACCAAATAGACTAGAAAAAGTAAATCGGGAGAGTGATTTGATACTTTCTGGCTTTGAGTGAGAGTCTCTGCGATAAAGAATGCTTCCAATCGTGTCTTATTGTAAGAAGGCAAGAAACGTATTTTGTAACTCCATTGTTGCCTCGTTTTTAAACGGCTTCAGTTTGACAATTTTTATCAAACCCGTAGAGAGACTTGCGAAAAAAATCTTTGCACAAAATGCATGCCAGTGAAATGCAGAAGATTTCCAGACTGTGAATTCTAAAGAATTCAAATGTTGTTTTTCTGTTATGTTTCTTTATAACCTAACATCATACTTATAATTGTTTTTAGGGGAGTAGTATTTTTAATTTAAATATTCCAACACTATGAGTACCAACGTGAAGCTTTTGAAATGGGAGTTTGCTTTTAAAGTGAAAATACGGTGTAATACTTTATTCCTCTATTACTCGAAAAAAGAGTTCACATTCGTTGCTAGTCGCCAATTGCATTGAAGGAGAGAAGAAACCGTTCTAGATTATAAATGAGTTTTTTTTTCTTTTTGTTTTTTCGAGAAAAACCAATCTTAGAATATTTTTGCTTCAGGATTAAATCCTGAAATCTTTTTGTGCACTCGTGTGATTCTATGGTATAATCTTCCATCTGATGTTACCTAAAACTGGCAATCTTTCTCTCGCTTTCTCGTGGCTCACATTCCTGAAAATGGCAATTGCCATGTCTTTTAAATAAGCTTCTTTTGACTCAATGATCTCAGAGAAATCAGAGCTCATTGAGAGAATTAAGAAAAGCTGAAATAGCAAGTTCTAACCTCATTTCCGTCTCATGCTTTGCAAGTTGTCACACCCATCCAGGCACAGCTTGAAGGAACAAATACTACTGATTCTTCGAATGAAAGTCATCGAGGCGAGAAACCAAACAAATCTCAAACGGCTATCAAAAAAGTATAAAATTTATTAATGTATTAGATTCTAGAAAATAATTGAAAAGACCAAGTAGTTGACTATTATAGAATCCAGAAGAAATTAGACTATGGGTAGTTGCCGGCTCTTGGACCAAAGTATCCGTCCGGAGCAGTGCTAGGGTCCAAATTAGAAAAGCCGCTTGCATCGAGACCAGAATACGAGACACTGTTTCCCCACCAATCGATAGACTTATCGTGATATTGCACGGCAAAGAAAATGATGATACTGCTGAAAGCAACACCAGCAGTCAAAGCACCAGACAACAAGAAGGTGTACTTCTTGAACCAGTTAAGATATCTGTCTCTGATCACGTACATAAAGAAGAAGGAGGCAATGAATCCTGGAGTGATGTAGGACAAATTGTATGGTGCGTAAATCAAGAACCCACCAATAATCAAGACCGGCTCAAAGTATTTCACAACCTTGTATTGTCTCAAGTACCGCTTCACCAAGAAGGCAACAGGGGCAAGCAAGAAACCAATGAAGAAACACCATTTCAAAATAGGGTAAAGACCCGAGAAGACCTTCTTAGGACCAATAACACCCCAGAAGACCGAGGAGGAGTAGAAGGTGGTGGCACTTGGACAAGTGAACTTTTGGGCCTGACCTGTCTCGCAATAGTTTTCGATGTTGTCAATGGTAAAGTTGATAACAGCCAAACTGATAAAGCAACTGATGAGCGTAGAGAGAATTTGAGATCTGAACAAAGCTCTGGGGGGAATTCTGACGTAGTGGGCCATCTTCTGATCAGTGATATAGTTTTGGGCTTGACCATCAATGTTGTAGCCCAATGCCTTGATGAACATCAAAGCCATACCGTTACCAGGCAAAGCATAACCAACAATCAACTCAACCAAAACGTTAAGTCCAAAACTGAAACCTGTGATGGAGTATACAAGAGTAAGTGGGATCAAGAAAACAAAGTTGATTCCAACAGCGAAGAAGACACTCCAAACTGGAGTCTCCATTGGGTACACCTCCACGCAAATAATTGCAAGCACAATGGAGATCACCAACACAATCAAGAAGCACCATTCTGGGACCTCTTTGTAGTTACGCATAGACCTCGAGTAAGCATCGTGGTATCCGTCGAAAGTAGACTTTCTGAAGTTTCTGATCGCACCCCAAAGGCCTCCAAAAGCAAACTTGATATGAGACCATTGGGTCAAGCCAACGTAAAGGACAGTGAAAGGGTAGATAGCAAAGAATGAACCATAAAGAACTAAGTTGGCAGCAGTGTAGAATGGAGGACCATACTCTTCGTACTTAGCCTGATCCATCAAATTGTTTTCATCAAGAATAGTCGACACCGAGTAATAGTCTCCAGTGTTGGTAAACAAACTGTTAGAGTTGATTGGCAAGTATCCAGTCCACTTGTAGTTCGAGTACCAAACACCAATAATGCAGAAAAATGCAATGATAGACCCAATGTACTGATTGAGTTGGGAGTAGAATGGGATAATCAATGCGGAGTTGAAGGAAATGATGTTCCAGTCAAAGGTCGTGATTGGGTTGAGACCCAAGCCACCAATGGAACCTGTGATGACAGCTAAGGTTGCATTGTTTGGAGCAATCCAGGTCATCCAGTTGAAGTAGGACAATGCCTCAAAAAGGTAGTCGGGCAACCAGAAGTACACAAAGGACCCAATGAAAGCCACAAGAAAGAAGTTGTATCTTGAGATCTTCCAGCCGTTGATGTTTTCCTTTGGTTCTTTTTGCACCAAGGCTTTGTTTAAAGCAAGAGTAGGCAAGATACTTGGCCAAATAGAACGTGTAGGGTACACGGCAAACTTTCTCATGATACCAGCAAAACCGAAACCCATAAACTGGGTGGACAAAATCAACAAGATTTGGTATCCCCAATCGGCCCACTTGATTCCGTAGTATTTGTCCATCTTGATGACGGGGATATTGTAAGAAACATAAGGTGTGCCACCTGAGACCGAGTAGAACAAGGTTGCCAACATCTGTTCCTTGTGGTTCCAAGGTCCAGGGTTCAAATCAATTGACCACTTCCAAATTTTGATCTTGCGCTTTGGCAAAACCCAAGCCAAAAACGTACCACTTGGGTAGAGGAAAATCTGCACCACGGCAGCAGACAAGGAAATCGAAGGTTGTCTTTCCAAGAAAAACTCATTGATGAAAGCACCGATACAGGTCCAAATGATGCCCACAATGTAGACTCTAAGAGTTTCAACAGGCAACTCCACATCGTCGTATGGTTCGGTCACGGCTCTAACCTCGGGGTAAGCAGAGTGGAACTCGATGATACCGGCCTCGGTCTTCACCTGCAAAGCCCAGTCAAAAATGTCATATTCTCCATATTCCGAGTCATTCCATTCTCTTTCCTGAACGGTCTTTTCATTAGAGTCATTTTTCTCGTCAAAGACAGCGTCAATAGCGTTGGTGGGGGAGGTGGGCGCAGAAGCAAGCAACCTCTCGATGAACTCGAAATCATCGGTCTTGATGTTGACATCGTCAGAATGTTGGGCAGCAAATTCCTCAAGAATCCCAACCGCATCGGGTACTGACAAGTGGTCGATTTTCTCCATCATGTAGGAAACAGAAACGGGAAGCTCATCGAAAGACACCAATGTATCAAAGTTAAGCTTCTTCAAAATGTAATCTTTTTGTGCTGGCGTGAACCCCTCGGCAACCTCACTGATTGACATTGGTTGGGAAGCAACAACTCTCAAAGTATCCAGTACTCTGGAGCTGTCGGAAGCCACGCTGGCTATATTCAAGTCGGTGTGATCTTTTTCGGTTGCCATGTTGGTGTGACTGAGTGAAAATATGAACAAATGGCTAGTTCTGTTTTCCTGACTCTGGCGTGGGGAAAAAATCCTGAGGTTAGTCTGGGATCTGTGGGCTTTAATACATCAAAGGTCACGTCTCGCACGATTTTGCAATTCAGCCAAACTTATCAGCATATCGAGCCCTTGCATCGCACGGCACCATGCACGGCGTTTATCTACGATAATGTGCCAGAGAGGACTGCACATGAGCGGGGTCTATTGGTTTCACCCGCCCTAGAGGCTCCGCGGACAGTCCCTTTCGTTATCAGTGGTCCTGTCCTTAAGCTCACGTCCATTGCAAGATTTCTGCGTCTGACTCTATCGGTGATACCCGCTCACCCTTCCCTCCATCTCATGACCCCACAAAATGATAAGCAAGGATACCACCCATCGGCACGGCTCCTGGGTTGTATCTTTTGAAGAAATTGGACAGCCGTGTTCTTGCACGTCACCCAAGAAAATTGCAGTTTTGATAGATGGTAAGTTCTTGGCAGGAAGGGTGTTTTGGGTGATGTCAATGCACCTATGCCGCCCACTATGCCATGGTCATTCCAATGCGATCTGTGAGTCCGGGGCAGCGCGACCTCAAGAATTTGACTTGATTTACGACTGCCGGTCAAGCGACTTAGAAGACAATCTGCACTGGAGTGACTTCTTTTTCGTAAAACTGGAGCATTGCGTGATTTTCTCACCAATCAGAAGGCGGGCGTGGAATCCTGCAAACACGCGGGTATTTCGGGGAGCTCCATATACGCGGATGACAACATGCAAATGGTGTAAAAATATTGAGATATCTTTGTATCAGGACTTTAGATTATGTAGACTGCTCGTGCCGTGTGATCAGGGTGATCTAGATAGCTGGGCCGTCCTGAGTCAGCAGAAGGAGCAAACCATGAAGAGTGAAAGCTGATCCATGGCACGGAAATAATGGTATGTCAGTAGGCTTTCATGCACTACCGGTGAAGCGCCGGTCTCGCAAGCGGGGCGGATTTGTAAATCCTCGCGGGCGTCGAAAGTCAATGCGAGGCTTCGTGGTGGAGAATTCCATTTTTGAGTATTTCCAAGCGCGAGCATATACTGATGCATTTCCCAGCAGGGGATTCGACAGAATCTCTTCAAGAGGGGACTTCCCCGTAGCTTGGGAATGAGACTCTATGTTCCCCCCTTGGTTCTGGTTGGGAAAGTCACGTGAACAGCGCTCCAGTTCTTTGGCTCAAAGCATCCCGCAACCGGAGGTTCAAACCTATACACAGGTCGCGGGACAGCAGTCATACGGCAAAGTGTCCGTACATCCATTGCTGATGTTTTGTGTTTGTCACACAGGCTGCAGGAATACCCGGGGCTTGAGCAACTTTAGACATCGGCTGCTGAATGAGTCGTATTGAGAATTCAGCCTTTTGTTAGCCCCTGTGACAACGGCGTAGTTGCGTGTAGTATGAGTCATTAAGGAGAAAATCGGGCGCACTACGAGGGGGGCTACAATGTGCATATTGCCGTGAACAAGCTGACACCCCATATAAATCAGAGTAGAGTGTTTTGACTGTGTATTAATACATGTGAAGAATTGAAACAAAATCGACCTTAATTCAGTCTAAAGGACGTCGAGTAGAGAGTAGGAAACCCAATGTTGTTTGGCCTATTGGCGGGTTTAGAAAACCCAGGCCTTTGGAGGCCACCGCCCTTCTTGAGACTGCTTGATTGATGGCTGGACGCTTCAACACCAACCTTGTTTGAAATAAACGGCGAGGTAATTTTTGGAATGGGCTCGACGTATTCTCTTCTTGAGTTATCCACTTTGAATAGCTCCAGGTCGGTGACATTTCCGGGCGTTTTGTACAGTGGCATCTTCAAACCGCTAGTGGTGCTCCATGAGTTGACCGAGGAAGATGAGGTAAAAAGGTCTCTTTCGCTTTCGGAAATTTGGCCTCCGGTGTCTTTCATATCAGTTTCATTGCTTGTTTTACGTCTCTTGTCAAGTGAACACAGGAAATCAATACCTAAACGCTTTTGTGACTCACGCAAGGCATCAAGGGTCGAAACAGAAGAGGAGTTGAAGTTTTTCAAATTGGAAACCTTCTGAAATAGTTCTTCTTGCGTCATTTCAGGTGCACCTGTTGGTGTTAACTGATTGTCCTCGCGCTTTGTAAGAAATAAAAACTTTCTAGACGCTCCAGATCTCATGGCTTGGTCAAAAATAGAGCTTAAAGTCAGGGAGATCAGATCAAAGATTGCCAGCGAATCCGTGATATTTAGCTCTTCGGCACATGCTGAGGCAACAACGGCAACTGTAGATGAAATTGCCATGAATACGCCTCTTGGATCCTCATCATGGCCGCACTCCGTTACTAAATTAAAAGTTTCAGTGATTCTTTTGACGAGAACCGGATGGTGAGACGAAGATTCGTCGGATGGCGGTGGACTTTCGGCTTTGACTTCGTCCTTTTTCTGTCGGTTAATGCGACGTGTTCTTCTCCGCAAATATTCCTTTTCAATCCATTCCAGTTTATCATCCGAAGAACCTTCACCAAATTTGAGTGCAGCTCTTTTGAGCACCCGGCATCTTAAGTCATTGTGTTTGTTTCTCTCGGCGTTTTCTTCACGCCACTTTTTTTTCCTCCCTCGATTGCCTTAGCTCAGGACGAACATTGCAAGTTTCTTTCCTGGCGATTGCCGTGGGCTTTCGCAAGAGATGAAGGCAGGTGTTTGGATTATCCCTCAGATTAAAAAAAGCAGCGAGCAAAGTCTGCTCCAAACCTGGGCCACCTTATGATACCGAATCGATGAGTAGATATCCCTCCAGATCTCCTGGGGGTTCGTCCCGCGGATTGCCCAGAGTCTGTGTGGTAGTATATAGTGCGTTTTGCCAGAGTCGCCCCGATGCGCCCTCGGGCATGCGGATTGCAATACGTGCGCTTCTAGTGCCAATACCTGCGCTTCTAGTACGTGCGCTTCTAGTGCCCGGGTAGACGCCCAGGAGGACCTGCCCAATTGCACATCCATCGTCACGTAGCTTTCACCAAGGAACAGCGGCGAAAACAAAAGGAAAACCACAAGAATTCCAAAAAAGCCTCTCCAAGTTCCCGGTCAATTCCGGGCAGTTGATGGTACTAAGAGTTCTAGATTGGCTCGCATCACGTGCATTCCCTTGGCGCTCGTGCAAGCCGGCAGATCCAGAAAGACCACGCAAACCGCGCCTTTTAATAGTCCACTGGGGCGGCGCTGCGGAAAGGCTCTTTTGTATATCGACTCGTGCGGCTGTTGGCATGATCTTTTCTGAAAGGCCAAGCGCGGGACGAACCGGGGGCCATGTATGCAGGCCCGCGAGGGCGAGTCAATGGCCCGGTGGGCTTGGCACGTGGTCTCGAGCCAGGGAGACAGTATATCAAAAAGCAGGACAAACGGCGTGCGCGGCAGTTGGCAGATCTGACAGCCATTTGGCATTGCCACGGGTAGCGTGGCGCTTCGCGGGGTGGGCCCGCAAGGTGCGGGTGCGTAGGCGAGGGCCAGGCTGTTTCCGAGGGCCAGGCTGTTTCCGAGGGCCAGGCTGTTTCAGAGGGCCAGGCTGTTTCAGAGGGCCGCGGCTGTTTCCGAGGGCCAGGCTGTTTCCGAGGGCCGCGGCTGAGACATTCCTGAAACAATGGCCGGCCGGGCGGCGCGAGCCCACGGGTCCCGTATTTGCCTGGGGATACCGGGCTGTCTCCAGCGTGTGCTTATTCTTGCAGGTCGCCACACGCTGGCAGACCAGCATCCCGAAGCCTAATTCCTCGCGCCATATTTAAGGTTTGGCGAAGGGTGCTCTACTATGGAGGCCCCAAAAATAGCCACGGCTGGCGCGAGTTCCCCCCTGCCTGCCCCAGCTCAGCCGTCCATCTAACCTCTTTTTCGCGTGCCAAAATAACACGCTTCACCACCCGCAACTTTAACCCTCATTTCCCAGAGCCCTTGGTTTTTTACCCTCACTTTCTTCTTGCCGCCTTAAAACAGACACCCGCGAGACACGCCCCCCGCCACATCCCTCAACAGTGGGCGTCTATTTTGTTCGCTTGTCTTTCTGTTTTTGTTTTTATTTTATTTTTTCCATCCTTTGCTTTCTGGGCTTGAAAGCGGGATTCTCGGGTCACTGCCCCATGCCTGGTGCCGCCGTGCTTCGCTACTGACCACAAAAACCATCACCCACAAAAACCATCCACAAAAACCATCACCCACAAAAACCATCCACAAAAACCATCACCCACATTACCCGCCCACTCCCACGCCCGCCGCCACCACACACGGCGCCCGCAAAATGCAAAGAACACACTCGCTCACCTCCATCTCGTCGTCCCAATCCGCGGCCACGGCGCCCCTGAACAGACCCAGGCCCGCCGCCCTCATGCGCCCAGACCTCTCCACCGAAAGCCTCCTTCCAAACAGCAGCCTTTTTGCGCGCAGGGCCCGCAAACACGAGCCTCCGGGAACCCGGGCCCCGGCGTTCAGCTTCCCGAACGGCGAGGTCTTCACTCCTCGCTCGGCGCCCGCTCGCCGGGCCCGCCCGGCCCGCCTACCCGCCGAGCCGGATACGCGAGCCGTTCAAGTGGTTCCACCGCCAGGCGCCCAAACGAGCCGCCCGCCGGTTTTCCCGCGCTCCGCGTCCATGGTGCTGATGCCGACAATGCCGGTGTGTGAGCCGGCGCTCCCTCCAACACAACCGGCCGCGCGGCCGAACGCGCCGCCTAATCGCCCCTCCCACCAGGGGCCCCCGCCGGCCGTGGCGGCCCCCGCCGTGCGGGCGTCGGGCGCGTTCCTCACGCGCTCACACTCGTTCAACAACTTCCGCAAACAGAGCAAGCAGGACTTGGCACACGCCTTGCGCAGCACACGGCTTGACACGTCCACAAACATCAGCGTGCGCCCACAGGCGGCCGTGCCGCCACTGTCGCACAGCGTCCCCCCGGCCCAGCTCCGGCTGTTCTCCTTGACCAACAACCGCTACGCTGAGAACGCCGCCAACATCGTGCGCCTGGAGCTGCTCGTGTCCGTGCTGGGCCCAGGCCCATACGCACGCATGGCCGACGGCGCGGCCTGCCTGGACTCGGCGCCGTCGAGCCTCTCCACGTATAACTTGAACCGCTCCAACTCGCACACGCCCCAGACGTCCGTCTCCGGCTCCGACGTGGCGGAGAACAGCACCAAGCTGTGGAGCAGCGCCGAGTCCGTGTCCAGCTTCCGCACGGCGAGGGACCCGTCGCCCCTCCAATGCATCGAAGAGTCCGGTGCTGCGGGGGCGGGCCTGGGCAAGACCAACGCGCCCACTGCGCAGGTGTGTCTGGCTGGCTCAGACCACGTGCACGCAGACGTGCAGCTGCTGTCTGCCTCTGGTGGAAGGCCGCCCTACGGCGGCTCTCTGTCGACTTCTCCTTCGTCGTTCGAGAGCGACTCGCCGTTCCCGTTCCAGGAGAGAGCAGAAAGGAAACCCGCCGACTCCAGCCAAGGCCACTCGGAGACTTGTCTACGGGACGGGTCCCCGTTGAGAAGTGGCCACCGTCTGCATCATGACACAGGAACGAGGTTGACCGACTCCGAAAGCTCTGGTATCCCGTCGCCCACCGTGTCGGCTGCAACACCGCCAAGACCCATTGAGTCAATCACTTTGGAGACGGAGTCCGTTGATGCACAGCAACTAGGCGGGGAAGACGGCTCCATCGATGACCTCGTGGATCCAAATGTTGAGCGGCCTCGTCTCACGTCGAAAACGACATCTTTGAACAGCGAAAGCACCCTCGCCGAGTTGCCTCCTTCCAAAGACCGCCCCGACACGAGAACTAGTAGTTTAGACCAGGAACTCGTGCGCGAGCCCAAGGCCTTTCTTGGCACATCGCCTGGGTCTGATGCCGTGGTGACGTCAGCTCCAGAAACATCCCTGCAAAAGGAAGAATGTGCTTCGATCCGCAGTGATCTACACAACACCTGTACTGAAGTTTCAGTGGAATTGGCTGAACAAAGACTGCCGCGAAAGGTTTCAACTGCATCTGGTGATTCTGATGGGGACCAACGTTCTACCACACACGATGACCCGTGCAAGCCTGTTCCAGTGTACTCATCAATGCTTGCTTTAGATGATGCGAAGACAAAGTCATCCAAAGACACCTCAAATTCATTGGCAACAGAGAGCGCCGAAGCTGGTCTTGCGGCGAAGAAAATCCCACAAGAATTTTCCAATGATTCTTTACGGGAGAGAAGGAATTCAAAGAACTTGCCTGTCTTGCATTTCAATCGATCTAGTGTCATCCCACAAGACCTGGTGGCTATTTCTTTGCCTATTCTGAAAGATTTCATTCAAATATCAAAACTGGACTCCGCTCGTCCCAGAAAAGCCGAGGATTCGATTGAGTGTGAAAGCCCTCCGGAAATTTATCCTGGAAACCAGAAAATTTCCGAGGAAACAATTTCAAACGTCAGTATTCTTCAGTCAATGCGAGGAAACGAGAAAAGTGTTGATATATACTCAACTATCCACGGTGGCGCCTCAATCTACGATAGCGAAATGTACTCTCCAGTCCATATTGACCGGTTTCTAGCGGATAACCAAAAGGCCGTTCCTCCTCGTGGTGATGTGGCTGTGGAAAATGGAGAGATAAAATTCCAAAAAGGAAACAGCTCACCAATCATTCTGGTCGACTCTCATCTCCATATGAAGCAGGACGATAGTTCGTCGTCAGGTGGGCAAGACTCAAGACATAATCTCGATCTATCAGCACCCACAACAAACTTACCCCATGAAAAACAAATGTCTGGCCGCGTCGCCAGACATTCTATGCTTGCGATTGTGGACGTTGACTACGAAAAACTTTTGCCTCCAACGCCTGAGAAAAAAATTTCGAAGAAAGGGCCACTCGATGAAATTCAGTCTCATAGCTCGCCCAAAGTACGTGAAATACCAAGGAAAGAAAAGTCACCAGTGAAAATCCCCGTGAAACCCACCAAGTCTCAGGACGCTAATGCTAAAGGCTTTAAAAAACTCTTCAGTTTTATGAAACGCGCGCCAAAATCTTACAATGACTCGCCTCCCAAACTTCGTTGGAAGTCTCTGATGACTTCTCTTCGCTCAGCGAGGCCATCGGTTGATCGGAAAAGTGCCGATGGGTACGAGTCCCAAGTCAGCATCCCAGATTCACAAGATAAGCATCAGTCTAGTAAAATGGCTGCGCAAAATGCAAAATCTCCGGGAAACAAAAAGAGGGTTTTCTTGTCGAACTTGAAGTTGACCACGGGTTCTAAAGTATACGACTTGCTGTCGCCTATGTACAGTGTGGGAGAAGAAGAACTGTCTCCAAGTGGAAGTCCATCATCTCTTCCTCCTGAAGAATTGAAGTACGACTTGCCCGAATACAATATTGATACTGACTCTTTTAAGGACGTTCTCCTAAGGTTTCAAGAGGTGGAGAAAGAAATTGAAAATGAGGTTCGTGTTATGAGAAAGTCTAAGAGCATACATGACTTCTTCCTCAAAGACGACGAGCTATCAAAGGCTCAAATCTTTGACCTTCAGAGAAATGACCACCAGGATTCTAGCAGTTCCCTTCCGGAGAAGTCTGACTCGGCAAATGGAAGTCTGACCAGTGTGGATTTATTCAATGAAAGACAAAGTGAGCCGCTTAGTCAGGAAAGACTCAGTGGGATCATTAGTGAGCCTATTTCCGATTTTCCGCAAAACAACGAAAAACAGACTGTTGTTGTCGATATCGCACTAGTTCAGGCCACTCTCAATGATCCACATGCGATACGTCAATCGTACTTGAAGTTTGTGAGACAATTTACTGATTTCGAACAGATGAGAATAGAATTAAGCGGCTTCGACCCGACGGACAAAGCAAAAGTGTCATGCGAATCTCGGCAGAAAGTGTCGAGTTTACGAAAGACTTCTTCGAAAGCTCTGCGAAGCGTGAAGTTCTCGAATTCGATTTCGATCAGCGAAACACATGCACCTCAGTTATACAGACGGAGCAATAGGTCTGTGACGCAATACTATCTCACGGAATATTCGGAGATTAACAGGATCAAAAACGAACTAAATGCCTACAAATGCTACGAGATGCTTGTTCACGAAAAGTCTCAGGCAAATACTCATTTTTTTTATTAGGTGAAGATTACATTACGCATTCAAATATACACTGCTCCGTTCCGCAGCTCAAAATCTGGACATCTTTTCTTCGATTGATTTCCTCAATGCTCGGGGAAAACATGATTCGTGACACTCTGATCCATCTAACTCCCACGGTAGGTTGAATAGCTGTGATTGCTCAATAATAACGGAACGTGGTAGTGGTGATCTGGGGGACTGTCGATCTGAAAGGTGATATCGACGAATGGAAAGAATGTACGACTAGACGCGTCTATATCGTGAAAGTACTTTCCAGTGAGAAACTTGATTTTGTAGACTCCAGGCTTCAACACAGACCATTCGTCATTTTCAACCCCCACTTTCGAATTGACGCCGTCTCCATTCCCAGGATTGACCACCCACTTTTTTATCCTGCCGTCATTGTCTGTGCGACTCATAGCAAATGGCTGGACCGCAGGGTCTAAGTCATAGGCGGCCTCGTCATTTTTGTTCGTGATAAGCGGGGAGAGATAGAATATGGAGCATGTGACGTTTTGTGCCGGCTTACCGAGAGTTGTGTCCAAGATATGACAGGTGATTGGATCCACTGACATGGTGTTTCTGTTTGTTATACGAATATGAGCACAGAGTGGCAAGACGAAAGGACGTTGGGTTAATGAGCCATGCCTTGTCGATAGCAGCTTCTTTCAAGATAAGCAAAGTCGCGCGTCCTTCGGAAATCGCCGAGCGGCTCAGACTTTCAATTTGGCCGGTGCGCGGCTTATGATTCAATTTATTGTCTCCACCACTAGAGAACGCATCTTATACGAAGAGTGTAACTAATTCAACTTTGTCTTTTCAAAGTTGCTAACTTTCGCCGACTCTTGGTCTCAAATCACCAGTTATCTGACGCTACCATGATAGTCGAATCTGAGAGACCCAATGTAGGCCCCTATATTGAATGGTTGTACCTTTAATGCTAGCAGCTCATTTGGACAAAAGTAACGGTAGTAGATGGTGCTTTGAATGAACTCATGCATAGCTAAAGTTGAAATCAAACCATGTTCTTGATCTGTTATTGTTATTCCTGGTCCAAAGGGTGTAACAGATCAACTTAATAGGGTTGTGATATTAAACCTATACTTACAAATAATGAGCTGGTATTATTCTTTCTTTGAGCATTGCTTTTGCAACATCTGCATAATAGCCGTATCAAAGCATACGATGACGAGATACATAAATGGGCTTCTACTCTCTTGAAGCTTCCTTTCTGCTATTATTCTCGAGGGTGCCAAAGAGAAGTGAAGTGAACTGATAACAATTTGAATTTTTCAAATCCCAAAAAGACTAAGCTGTGTCGCGGTTCTTGAAGCGTTTATACAAGGCGCCAGCGCCTGCCTCATTTTTAATCAGAGGAGCCTTTGTTGATCACGCTGGTTCACTTTCATCTGCGAAAACAATGGCTTACATCCTGTAGTTGGTCCCTGGAGACGGCAGACAGTTCAGAGCCCGAATTTGATCGGTTGAGGCTTGGACTCATATCCTTGTGAATCACAAAAGAGTCCATAGCGTTATTAAAGGTGCCAGTCCCCAAGGTGGACCGTCTGGTTTTCTCGCAGGAGGATACCAAAATTCTCCGTTTTTCTTGTCTTTTGCGCGCGTCTTTATACTCAAATATAGTCTTTGGCATGGTTGGCTCAGCTATCGTCGCCTTGGGAGGGAAATATCGCCAGGGCTGCTCGATGTACTTTCTACTATCGAGCACCGCAGTCCACCAGGCCAATTCGATTGCAATATCATGGTGCCCACCGCGAATCACCACTTCAGTGGCCAGCATTTGCTTCTTCCCATTGAAGGCTCCCAAAGAGCCAGAAATCTTGAGCAAAAGGTCATTTTTCTCCAACGAAGCTGCTGGAATAAGATGGGCTTCAATCTTGACGCGGAGAGTCAGGTTTTCTCCCAGGAAGTCATCGATGTATAGAACATGAAACTGGTAGCTGTCAGCCCCGCTTCTTCCCGGGACCTCGTGGCTTTCAAACAGCATCATTCTGCCCATGATTGTGAACGTTTTGAACGGGTGGTTCTTGATTAGAAAGCAGCCTTCCTTGCCCAAATGCAAGGCGTTCTGGCCGTAGATTTTCAAGGGATCGGTTGATCGGAGTACATCGGCAATGAACAACGGCACGGTGTGTTGGTATGTGAGTGACATGTGGAAAAGCGACGGCACGTAATAGGTGATGCCTTTTTTTCGTAGTGCTACGTGGGGCTCACCCGGGGCAAAATCTATCCGGAACTCAGGCATGCCATCCCACGAGCACAATTACAGGCTTCGTTTAGAAAGGTGGGCTGGTGAAGAGTTGCTTTCGCTTGTGCTGGTGCGCCTACTTGAAAGTATTTAATAGTGCCAATCCGCTATCTGTGCTGTATGAAGGCTGGGCTGCGGCTGATGTCTGCATAAAGTGAGTAGTGCGCTGAGTAGCCCAAGCACAATGTTTTGCAGGTCACCGCTAGAATATCCCTTCCTGAAAATACCTAGTTCTTGAATGAAATAGATTATGTAGAGACTTATGTATTGCTTTCTGCTAAATATACTCTTGGCACTATGACCTAGCAGTAGAAGTCTGGCACCTGGTGCATGCCATCTCTGGCTTCTGGGCTTGTCCTGCACGTCCCAAAAATTGAGATGCCCATATCATCTCATCCTTCGGCCATGAGGCCCAGTTCCCAGACAAGCGATCAACTACAAAATGACTCTTTTCGAGGTTGCAGGATGGGACATCAAATCCCAAAAAGTGCAGATGGGTGGGCTTGCCAAGAAAAAGGAGGACAAATCCACCAAAAAAAGCCTCCAACAAAAAGGGTTCTGAAGACAAGCCCCAAAACAAAAAACGTCCGGCTAGCGATAAAGGGACCGGTCCCCAGAACAAAAAAAGAAACCAAAGCCAGCTCTCCGAAGATGTGGCCGAGACTTCCGAAAAGGACGTGCTTGCGCCCGTGCCTGCCATGTCCGCTAACTTGACTCCATTGCAGCAAAAAATGATGGCCAAACTCTCGGGGTCGAGATTCAGATGGATCAACGAGCAACTTTATACCACGACTTCGGACAATGCGCTCAAGCTCGTCAAGAACCAGCCCGCGCTTTTTGACGAATACCATCAGGGGTTCAGATCGCAGGTGCAGCAGTGGCCGGAAAACCCCGTCAATGTGTTGGTGGACCAGTTCAAAGCCCGGACGGCTCGGCCAATCAATGCTCCCGGAGGATTGCCCGGGTTTGCCAACAAGAAGATTGTACTTGCTGATATGGGCTGCGGGGAGGCACAGTTTGCGTTGGACATCAACAACTTCGTGAAGGAACACAACAGCAAGAAATTCAAGAAAACCGACAAGAAGACTGTTGGCCCGCAAGGCCCGCGGATCTTGGATGTGGACGTGCACAGCTTCGACTTGAAAAAGGCCAACGAGCGCATCACCGTGGCCGACGTCAAGAACGTGCCCATGAAGGACGAGTCGTGCAACATTGTCATTTTCTGCCTTGCGTTGATGGGCACCAACTTTTTGGATTTCATCGAAGAGGCCTACCGAATCCTTGCGCCAAACGGCGAGCTCTGGATAGCGGAGATCAAGTCGCGGTTCAGCGAGTCGACAAACGCCAAGGCCAAGCCCAACGGCGTGAATGCCGTGGGGGAGGAGTTCGTGGATTCCTTGAAGTTGCTTGGCTTCTACCACAAGAAGACGGACAACGCCAACAAGATGTTCACGCGGTTTGAGTTCTTCAAGCCGTCCAGGGAGATCATCAACCAGAGGAACGAAAAGTTGCAGAAACGCAAGAAGTTCGTGGAGCGCGAGTCCCAGAAGGAGGAGCTAGACAACAAGCGCACTAAGGCCCCCGAAGGCGAGTGGTTGTTGAAGCCCTGTATTTATAAGAGGAGATGAGGAGGATCCTGGAAAGAGGGTGCTGGATCGGCCGGCCCTTGTATTGTGTGGCTGTTCCGACCCAGGGTTTAGGCTACTTGTGTAATAAACGTGGGTCTGAGAACACATATCGACGGTGGGTGGACTTCGATTGTGGGTGGGGCTCGATGAACGGCTTTTTGACTCGTTATTTGGCTTTGAAGAAGTGCAAAGACGAGGGAGTTCTAGGGCCATATATCGGGGGAATGGATGTTGTATCTGTAGAGCACCGGGCCCATGCATCATCATCGGTGGGTCTAGCTGATTTGAGTATGGACGGGGGTTTCAACCCGATGTCTTGTATGGAAGTGAAGCGTCGTTTTCATAACCCTCCATGCTAACTGGGTTCCCAGAATTGGGCAGAACGAGCCCTGTTCTTTGAGCTTCTTGACTGATTTGGCGAGACATGCTCAGGAAGTAACCTGCCATTTGACCGTCGATGATTCTGTGAGAACCCGTCGCCTATTTTTGCACATGATCTGAGTGGCTGGGTCGAGTGTTTCCGAAGTGGAGGGTGTTCTCGTAGTCAGTTAGTGGCATACAGACAGGATGTGCTGTCTGTGAATATTAGTGATATGTGTTTTCTTTCAGTCAATGTAAGTTCTAACTGATCGTTTGAAAACATTTTGATCAGTTCTTTAATTTCGACAGCAAGTATTCTGGATCCATTAATACCAATCAGAAAACCGTCAGCATATCCAACGTATTTATCAAATCTGTAATCTGATCGAAATATATGCCCAATTTCTTACCCTCTTCGGTGCCATTATAGAGAGAGGTTTCTCTTTCAATTTTTTATTTTTCACTGAAATAATCGTTTTTGATTTTTTTTTTTTTTTGATTTTTCTTCCATTGATTAAACGTAATTTTATATTTTTTTTATACTTTATTTCAAGTAATCTCAAAGTGCGAGAGTTTTTCTGACGAGTGGATACAAAACTCCCTGTTATTTGAATGTTAGAATGTCCATATATCGATCAAATAAGTCTAAATCGATATTAGATATCCCCGGCTTTGCTGGGAATACAGGACTAAGGATGTACCTAAGTCCAATAATAGACTAAAAGACATAATTGAAGCCATTGACACAAATGGCATTATGTAGAAAATGTGATTCAAGTACACACGGAGGATATTTAAAGAAATGCTCACCAATGATACCACGTAGGGTTGGAGAACCTGGTGATGGGTAGCTATCTCGCTGGGTTCGGAGAGAGCTTTGGTCTTATATTACTAGAACAGACAAGTGTGGATGTACGGATGGCTGGTATGACGCTCGATGTATTGAGCACAAGATGTATTTTTGTTCGCAGAGCCGGTGGCTGTTTTCGGAACCCACCTGGGATATGCTGATACTTTCGGAATGCCATTTTCTCGCTCCCCAGAAGTGTGGGGCCACGAACCACCAGTCGTTTGGAATTGGTGGCCTGTTTCTTTGGTGCGCGACGATGAGCCGAGCAGTGCTGGCGCATATAATAGGGCAACAATAGACGCGCGCACCAGCCCAGGGCCTCGAGAGGGAATGGACAGAATGGACAGAAAGGACGGAATGGACAGAATGCACAGAAAGGACAGAAGGTATGCCCCAGCCGCGGCTCTTTCTGGACTGCGGCCCTTTTTCGGAGCCTCAGGAAAAAAAAAAAAAGAGGCCGGGCACGGACGGGCCTGCCATTTGCACCCACCATAGATCAGCCAGCGCCAGCATGCCTGCAGGCCGACCAAGCATATGGGGTGCGGACACGGCGCGCCCCGATACCGTGGATTCCGGCGGTGAGAGGCTGGCGACCACGCGCACCTGCACCTGCCAGCGAGACGGGGCCAGGATTTTGAACCGAATCCTGCTTGAAATGAGGGTCGAAGAATCCCCTGCCCCCATGCCCCCGAATACACGGCTATTGTAGATGGTCATGCTGAGGAAGGTCATGCTGTAGACGGCCATGTTGTAGAAGACACGGCCATGATGTAGAAGACACGGCCATGTTGTAGAAGACACGGCCCTGCTCTGGGCCCTGCTGCAAACGGCCTGGTGCACAGTGCACGGCCATGCTGTGGCATACGCGCCCATGCTGTGAGTTACGCCGCAGGCCACGCTGGCCAGCGCGCGCCCGGCCGCGCGGGCACGTGACCCGCCGTTCCGGGCGCCAGCCAGCACCAGCACCAGCACCAGCAAGTCGGCCCCATGACCGAAGTAGGCACCCTGCCAGCGGCAGGCGCCCCGGGCGCGGGCTATATGATGGGCGCCCCCCGCCAACCAGGCCGTGCGGCCATCGCGCCCTCCTGATCTCGGCGTACTCACGTGTTGCAACCCACCGGCGATTTTTTGCACCCAATGGACTACTACGAGCCTCCAAGCCTCTTCCGGCAAAAGGCCCTCCGGCGAGCGGCGCCCGGCAGCAGCCCGGACCTCGGCCACCAGCACAAGGCGGCCCGCCAACACAAAGCGGCCCCCGGCCCCCGCCCCGCCGCGGCGTGGCTTTGGCAACACCACCACCACGACACGCTGGTCTTGGACAAGGCGTGCGCGCTCGGCCGCACCAACATCAAGTCCAACTACTGGAAGATCCCGGACACGCACATGAACCTCACGGCGTTGGCGCTCAGCGACGCGCGGGCCGCCGTGCCGCACGTGGCCATCTCCAGCGCAAGCGAGAAAAACAACTTGTACATCCACGAGCTCGACGCGCACCGGCACCACTTGACGCACCTCTCCACCATCACGTTGCCGCACATCCACGGGCTCGCGTGGGTGCCCGGCGGCGGCGCGCGGCTCCTCGTGACCGGCAACAGCAAGGGCTACGCGCACCTCGTGGCCGTGCCGCGGGCGCTGCCGGACGGCGCCGCCGACGGCCTCGAGAGCGCGGAGATCGTCAAGCGCTTCAACCACCGCAAGCACTTGCGGCTCGCGGGCAGCGACGCGGCGGCCGCGGCACCCGGCCGCACGTGCGTGGCGGAAATGGCGTTCCTCTCGCCCGCGCGGCTCGCGTCCTGCTACGCCGACACGGTGTTCGTGTGGGACATCAACGGCACGCAGCTGGCCCGGCGCCCGCGGCCCGAGTCCATCTCCGTGGTGCCGGGCGTGCGCAGCGTGGACGCGTGTGCGGACGCCGCGGCCACGGTGGCGCTTGCCGGCGCGTTTGGCGTGTCGCTCCTCGACACGCGGACCGGCCAGCACCGCGTGCCGCCGCCCTCGCTCTTCCACGGCCGCCCGCGCCTGGCCGCCGCCAACAGGGTCAAGTGGCACCCGCGGGACCAGCACGTGCTTGCCAGCTCGCACGCGGACGGCGTGGTGCGCGTGTGGGACGTGCGCAAGCAGGCGTGGTTCGCCGAGTTGACGGGCCACCGCGGCAAGACCGTCACGGCCATGTCCTGGAACGGCGACGACTTGTTCACGGGCGCCAGCGACGGCAACATCGTGCACTGGGACCTCACGCTGGGGCTCGGCGCGGCACCCGGGCTCTCGCGCCACGGCGGCCGGCTCCGCCACTGCTCGTTGCGCGACGGCATCGACAGCGTGGCCTTCGACCCGGCGCGCAACGCCATGGTGGAGCGCGTCAACGAGCGCCAGTGCGGCACGGCGCTCCCGGCGCTGAACAACCAGATCGTGGGGCTCTGCCCGGTGCTGGCGCCCGGGCCGCGCGACGAGTGCAGCATTCTTCTGATTGACGGCGCGGCGTTCCTCGGGCTCCACTGCAAGATCTACGACGCGGCGCGGCCCGCTGGACGGCTGAGCTGTGGTCCGCGGGGGGTGGTGCTGGACTCAAGGGACGAGCCGGTCCTGGTTTCAAGGGACGAGCCGGTCTTGGTTTCAAGAAAAGAGCCGGTCTTGGTTTCAAGAAAAGAGCCGGTCTTGGTTTCAAGGGACGAGCCGGTCTTGGTTCCAAGAAAAGAGCCGGTCTTGGTTTCAAGAAAAGAGCCGGTCTTGGTTCCAAGAAAAGAGCCGGTCTTGGTTTCAAGGGACGAGCCGGTCTTGGTTCCAAGAAAAGAGCCGGTCTCGGCTTCAAGAAAAGAACCGGTCTCGGCTTCAAGAAAAGAACCGGTCTCGGCTTCAAGAAAAGAACCGGTCCTGGTCTCTCAAACCGAGCCGGTCCTGGTCTCTGAAATGCGAGAGACAATGGCGGACGCTCAAATGCTCTCCAGCGACCAGGCCCTGCTTCCCGCCATGGCCCCGGGCTCGCGGGACGGGCCCTGCGACTTGGCCGCGGCTTCCGAAATGAGCCCCGCGCTCTCCGTCGCCTCGACAGCCCGCCTGCTTGCGAGCGGCCAGACCCTCGCGTCCGTTTCCCACAGCCAGCACCCAGCCTTTGGCGGAACGGCCGTGGATGCGGAAACACCACCCCTGCGTGGGCCGGGCCTCATTGCCGAGGACTTCCTCGGCATGTGGGACGAGGCCATATCGCTCCACTCCGTGGACTCGTCGCCGGAACAAGAGCTGTCGCCGTACTCGTCGGGCATGCTGGACAACTCGTCCAGCTGCTCGCTCTCCACGGTCGCCACGTTGATCGACGCCGGAGGCCAGGCCATGCCAAAGGACACGCTGTTCCAGTTGTTGGACAAGGAGCTCGAGCGGATCTGCGACGAGTTTCCCAGCATCTACCGCGACTGCTACTAGGCCGCAGGCGGCTGCGCTGGAATGCCGGCTTTGAGGCACAGTCTGTTATTATTGTCCGAGGCACAGTCAATTGTCCGAGGCTAATTCTTTAATCTTGTCCGAGGCACAGTCTGTTACAATTGTCTGAGGCACAGTCTGTTATTATTGTCTGAGGCACAGTCTGTTATTATTGTCTGAGACTCGGTCTGTTATTATTGTCCGAGGCACAGTCAATTGTCCGAGGCTGCAATCTTTATTCTTGTCCGAGGCACAGTCTGTTACAATTGTCTGAGGCAAACCACGATTGCCTGAGGCAACCATCTGAGCTATAGATTACTCGACGCTGCAGGACTCGGCCGGCGTCCAGGCTTTCTACGCATGAAACACACAGGTCTTGCCGGCAGGGCCTGCTTGGATCAGTCTGCAAAGACGCATCGCGCCGACCGGCGTGTTTTCGAAAAGGGCGCCAGGGCCCGGCTCTTGCCAAGGCACGGCAAATAGTGGCGCACTGCGCCGGCACGTCAAAATGCGCGGCTGCGGTGACAGGCTTCAGATGGGCCCGGGACTTTCCAGGGTCCGCACTCAGACGCTTGGTCCGGCATAAGGCTGGGGAGGATAATGGCACTGGACAAGCCAGCAAGACTACAAAACGGGCATCAGGGAAAAGAATGATGGCGTAAGGGTACACAATCCACTAGCGCAGACATACATATTCGAATAGCATATACCGGTGAAACGGCCACGTATCGTTGTCTTATAGAACGGTCAAAAGTCGCGTTGCGGAATGTCAGGCGGTCCGCCCAGAGGCTTGGAATGCCGCGGCCAGGCATGCAACGGAAATCTGCAATAGAGTTTTGCCAGGCAAGAGGGGTGTGTTGAGTGAAACAGGCTGCGGCTGACCAGAGCAATGACGACTGCGAGGGCAAAAAAAAGATCCAACTGGGTGTAAGTGCGTCGGATAGAGGGGGATCAAACTTCAGTGGTGGAATCTTCAGTGTGTTTTGATTTTGTGTGTTTTGACTTCTATGTGTTTCAATTTTGTGTGTTTTGACTTTTATGTGTTTTAATTTTGTGTGTTTTGACTTTTATGTGTTTTAATTTTGTGTGTTTTATCTTCAGTGTGTCTCTTTAGTGTGTTTCAACTTTTATGTGCTTTAAGTTTTGTGTAGTTTATCTTCAGTGTGTTTTAACTTCGGTGTGTATAACTTTGATGTGATTTAACTTCGGAGGGTTTTACTTCGGTGTGTATAACTTTGGTGTGATTTAACTTTGATGTAATTTAACTTCGGAGGGTTTTAACTTCGGTGTGTATAACTTTGGTGTGATTTAACTTCGGTGTGTTTTATCTTCAGTGTGTTTTATTTTCAGTGTGCTTTATCCTCAGTGTGCTATAACTTCTAAGTGTTTTATCTTCGATGCAATTTGACGTCGGTGTGATTGGACTTCGGTGTGATGGAAGAATAGCAAGTGAGACTGGATGGGCATGCAGATAATAAACGATGGGGACGGCGCAGCAACAACCCGAAATGGGGCGGGCGCCAGGTCGGGCCGGAGGCCTAGGAAACTAACGTCCAGAATCTCCCGGGCCACGTCTCGCCACCACGGACTTGGAGCTGTCTGATTTTTGTAATATTGTGTTTAGTCTAGCTCCTTCAGAATCTATAGAAAATTGAGATCGACGCAACTCGCGAACAAAACACAGGCAGCGAACGCGGCAAGACACCCCGGCGTCGGAATCTCGGGACCACGGCGGGCGGCATTCTTCTCATCTACTTTGATTGGTTCCATCGCCTTGGCTTCGTGTTTCTGTTATTTTCCACGTCATCTCTGCGCCGTCAATCATTCGACTCACCGAGCCTTCCGTGTTTTAGGCCGTCCTGGTCTTTTCTTCGATTCTCGTAATTCTGGTTAGGTTCGAGCCTGCAGCTGAGATTTGGGTGAGTGGCGGTGCTTGGGGCGCACTCTGCCGGGTGCAACAACTCAGTCTGGTGCTAATTTCACCGGACCGTCTGGATGATTTTTCTGGATACTGTTTTTTTCTCGTAAGTTTTATTTCTGTGCGTGCCATATCACGTGTACTGGGGGAGAACGCCGGATTTATATTTCTGCAAAGTGATTCAGTCAGCCGCATTGTTCTTTATTAGCAAGCTTCCATTTATTAGCAAGCCCCGCACTTCTGTACAATTTGCATTTGCCGGACCTTTCAAGATCCCATTCATTTCTCCCTTTCATCACCCTCGTGTGTTCTCCAGTTGGTTTTATACCTATTCTCCCGACCATCCACTCAGCGATTCGTTTACTTGTTCTTCCGCCTATTCTTTCGCCTATTCTCTCACCTGTTCTCTCACTTTTACTATTTTCTCACCTCTTCTCCCCATTGTTCCCCAATTCTTCTCCAATTATCCTCCAACTTTTCATTAATGATTCTCCAATTATCCTCCAATTATTTTTTTAAATATTCCCCAATTCTCCTCCTATCCTCCAATTATCCTCCAAATATTTTCCAATTTTTCTTCAATTTTTCTTCAATTTTTCTTCAATAATTCTTCAATTCTCCCCCACCAATTCCTTTTCTTATCCTCCCCAGTATTCCCCAATTCTTCAATTCTTCTAAATTCTTCTTCAAATATCCTCCCACTTTTCTTTAATTATCCTCCAATTATTTTCCAATTATTCCCTCACCTATTCTTC